ATAAAACAATGTAAAAATTACTCAGCAACCTAAGACAAACCTAACAAAAGAGGAGAACTAACAAAGAATATTAGAATATTAGATTTCCCCATGCACAACTACTACACAAGGAGGTTGCATTACGTTTTAAGAATCCCACAAACTGGAAAGACCACAATAGTTTGCTGCAATGAGGTTTGTGTCACATGCAACACATTTGTTCTGATAAACTGTATTGACATTGAGCAGAAGGACTACTAAAAAAATCAAATAAATAAATATCAGTGATAAACATTCAGAGGTTATGATCTGAAAATAGATCTGGAAAGCTTAAAGCAGTCAAACCAACTTCCAAGGAAAGCATGAAATGCAGAAAACAATCTAATCTGAAAAAAATCTACAACAATCTGTCTCGCTGTATTATTAGTCAGTGAATAAAATAAAAACAATTAAATGCAGAAGTCTGTACTGGTTGAACTGAACCACTGGACCACTGACAACAATACACACAGAAAAGTAACAATAGAAAATGAATTCCTCATCTACAGTGGTGTAAAGTAACAAATTACTAATACTCAATATACTGTAACTGAGTAGTTTTTCTCAGGAATTGTAATTTACTAAGTAGTTTTATAAACGTGTACTTTTACTTTCCCTTAAGTACATTTTTAGTGCAGTATCTGTACTTTAACTCCACTACTTTAACCTGCAGTCACTACTTTATTTTTTCTTGTCAATGGGGATTAGAAAAATCAGTCCTGTAATTCCTGTCCAATCAAATTGCATATAGAAAATAAATCGCATCATAATGAACTACCTCAAAACATGGGTGATTTATAATTGCAGCAAACTGTTTGGAAGCACTAAAAGTGTCCAAGATGACATCCAAAATCTTTACAAGCATTTACCCAGAGACTGTTTAGATGCATGTCACTGATGAGAAGATGATGAATGTTTACTGTATAATGACCAAAATGGCCTTAAACTCCCAGTAGGCACAAGACATCAACATGACGTTAGATTGATGTTGTACTCCAATATCATGGGGACGTTGCATTTTGTTTGGAAATGAAAATCGGTTGACATCAGAACCCAAAATCAGGTTAATGTCAGAGTCCAATGTCCAACCTAAAATCAACCAAATATCAACGTCTAATGTCACAGCTTGACATCGTGTGGATGTTGCCACTATGACGTCTATCAGATGTTGGATTTTGGTTGTCATACCTTACGCATAAATGTCAGTATTTGAGGTCAATATGATGTTGGTTTTTGATGTTAGTTTGACGTTGGATTTTGATCACTTCTCAACACAATCTGAAATCAACCAAATATCAATGTCATTTAATATCGTTATTGGACATCAAAATAGTGTTGTCCTTAGATGCTGACCAGACATTGTATTTTGTTCATCTGATGTCAAGACCTATATCTAACCTAATATAACATCTTATGATGTTGTGTGCCAGCCTGTTGGCCAATAACTAAATGCACTTTTACATTTTACACTTTTACATTTACACACATCTACAAATTACATGTAAATGCATCAGCTTTTAATCCGTAATACTCACTATTCTTGAGTACTTTTAAAAGGTTCCTTTTTTACTCATACTTTGGGTCATATTTACAACAGATACTTACTGGAGCTACATTTTTAGGCAAGTAATAGTACTTTAACTAATGATTTTTCAGTACTCTTTCCACCACTGCTCATCTAAAATACTATGTTTTTTAAACACACAAAGCACAGAAAATATTTTGCGGTGTTCATTTGGATGAAAGTAATGTTTCCACTGCTTAGCTGGAAGTACATCCTTGATAAAGGACAGGGACACATCAAAGATGCCAGAAATTCATGCTAATAGACGGAACATGAAATGCGTGAGGAGTAATTATAATCATCTGTTCACAGTCCGTTCCTTGTTAAACACAATGTTCTTATTATGGTGGTGTGGAAAATTTCATAATCTGTGTGATGCGTCTTTATGGTTGTCTGAAAGATTGTGTTCTTTTCAAAAAGCAAGAAATATGAAAGCATGTGGCTGAGTGTGTGTGTGTGTGTGTGTGTGTGTGTGTGTGTGTGTGTGTGTGTGTGTGTGTGTGTGTGTGTGTGTGTGTGTGTGTGTGTGTGGTGAGAGAACTTTCCTCACGGTTGGTCATCATTACCAGCAAGTACTGTATGTATTTACATTGCCTCCCATTCATAAATGTAATGTGTGTGTGTTTCATGTGCGTGGGTGTTTGAGCTCGTGCGTAAAACCGCAAACAAACGTCTGTACATCATCCTGCTCAAGACAAGAGGGGAAAGTCCATGGCATGGTGTTTCTGTTTAGCGTTGAGAAAAACAATGTTGAAAAACATTTAGAAAAGTCGACCGTTATGAGCATGAAGCGTCTAGACCTGTTCCTAAACAACTATTTGCATAATAGTCAGCCACCGTTTCACAGAAATACATGCATTTTGTATCTGACACTCTGCCATAAAGCAGGGATTTTCAAGAATCTCCTTCTGCCCCTAATTTTAAACCCTTAAGCCGGGCACAATGTAAACTCAGTCAAAAGATCGGGTCTATGTTCTGGTCCAGCATTCCACATGGTGTCCCCAATCTAAGCTTGAGTTAAGTCATTTCCCTAAAACTGCCAAACCACTGACCGCAACCCTTTTTACTGTCACCACCCAGCCTTAAAGTTGGCCCTAACTGGACTGCCGGTGGTACTTATGACCAATAGACAAAGTATTGTGGTGTTTACGAAGTATGTCCTTATAAAGGTTTGCTATTACCAATTTAGCAGCAATGTACTAAAACACAATGCCACACTTAGGGTTTGCCTTATTTGCTTGTGACATCAAGACAAAGGTGGTCACATTTTACAAGTTACTGTGTATTGGCCTTATCAATCCACTTAAAATGCAAAGAAAAACATCTAAAATACCTATACTGTAATGTTAATGTCAAAATACAAATACAAAATGTTTTGTCAGTCAAGGGCACACTTCAACTCAGATTTCCCTCAAAATTAATAGAACACGATTTACACACCACCATAACAGTTGCTGTCACAACCAAGGATGTGTTTAGTGTAAATAAAACTTTGTAAAGGAATAGTTGAGCGAGTGTGCTCAGTGTTTCTGTTACTGTGTTTTGTGTAAGCACAGTAAGGCTTATCATACATTTGGGTGGTCAAAAGGTCTCTGACAAATCCTCTATAGACATCATTATAACTCGCAGTAATGTTGTATATCGATTTACTGTTTTTAAATCAGATTTATGGATGTCCCAAAGGACGCCTCAGAATAACAACTGTTGTTTTCTCATGATCCCATGACAAAAATAAAAAAATGTTTGTTGCTCTCCATTTCTCTGGCCAGCCACAAATCATTTAATCGGCGTCTGTCAAACATCATTCTGTAACAATGTAGACATCTGGACTCGTGAGTTGGCTGAATTTAAATTTCACTACAGTTTGTGAATCACTATTAAGTCTACAATGATAAAGCTGCCAATTTCTGAGATTTTGGATACTGATTTGTTTGAATGGATGGACAGACGAATGGATGGGTTGACAGATGGATGGATGGATGGATGGATGGATGGATGGATGGATGGATGGATGGATGGATGGATGGGTTGACGGACGGTTGGATGGATGGATGGATTGATAAGTGGAAAGATAATTGAATGGACGAATGGATGGATAGGTTGACGGATGGATGGACTGATGGATGGATGGACGGATAGGTGGACAGATGAATGGAAGAATGAATGGATGGATGGACAGATGGATGGATGGGTTGACAGTTGGATGGATTGATTGATGGGTTGAGGGACGGATGGATGGATGGATGGATGGATGGATGGATGGATGGATGGATGGATGGATGGGTTGAAGGACGGATGGGTGGATGGATGGACTGATAAGTTGACGGATAAATGGATGGATAGATTGACGGATGGATAGGTTGACGGATGGATGGATGGATGAAATGAATGGATGGACGGATGGTTGGATGGACAAAGGATGGATGGGTGGGTTGACAGATGAATGGATGGATGGATGGATGGATGGGTTTTATGGATGGATGGATGGATGGATGGATGGGTGGGTTGACAGATGCATGGATGGTTGGATGGGTTGACGGATGGACGGGTTGATGAATAGGTGGATGGATGGATGGGTTGACGGATGGATGGATGGTTGGATCATACCTGCCTGTTTTTCCCAAGAGTCTTCCGTATTTCAGACCCATCCCCCGTCCATCTCCCGGATGGTTCTGTCTCCTGGAAAACTCCCGGAATTCCACCTCTATGGTTGAGTCCCCATGCACACCGAACCCAACGCGCAACCATGTTCATACCCACTCCCCGCTCTTCAGTTTGTTATGGATGGTGGGTTTATGAAGGGTGGGTTTATGGAAGGATAGATGGGTTTATGGATGGATGGGTTTATGGATGGTGGGTGGGTGGATGGACGGGTTTATTGATAGATGGGTTTATGGATGGTGGGTGGGTTTATTGATGGATGGATGGATGGATGGGTTTATAGATAATGGTGGGTTTATGGATGGATGGATGAATGGGTTTATGGATAGTGGATGAGCTTATGAATTGCTGGATGGATGGATTGATATGGATGGATGGATGGAAGGATGGAAGGATGGATGGATGGATGGATGGATGGAAGGAGAGATTTAATTGGTTGGATGGATTGATGGGTTTGTGGAAGGATGGATAGATGGATGGAAACATGGGTATATGGATGGATTTTATGGATAGATGGACAAACAGTGCACTAAGAAATGGTTTCTAAACAAAAAAAACAACAAAAAAGAAGCCACTTTTATGTCACCTAATCATGGTAATGCATAAAAGAATCAAAACAAGACAGAAAAAAATTATAATGCCTTATTTAGTATATCTTTATATAGTCTAAACATATCTGTATTGGTTTATGTACAGTAAATGCAGTGTTGTGGCAACTTGTGAATCTGACTTTGCACTCTTCTCTTTATCTCTATAGAGTGAGGCAATATGAATTCAGGTAAGGTGCAGTACTCTGGAGTGAAGAGCAGTGACAATATTCAAAGTGTGGTCACTGACGACAGCTGTTACTCCAAGAAGAAGCGATATGTGAGAAAAGATGGGAGCTGTAACATGGTACCCCGGCATGTTCCAGAAAAGTGGCTTCTGTGGGTCACTGACATCTTCACTACCTTGGTGGAGATCCGCTGGAGAGTCATGCTCTTGACATTTGCCCTCTCCTACATCTTATCTTGGCTGTTTTTTGGAATTCTATTCTGGATCATTGCATTAACACATGGCGATATGAAAAACCCCAACAATGAGCCATGCGTTTATGAGGTTCGGAGTTTTACAGCTGCTTTTCTTTTCTCATTAGAGACCCAAACCACTATTGGTTATGGCTTTCGGGGGATGTCTGAGAACTGTATGATCGCTATCATCGTAGTTACCATCCAAGATGTCATTAGTGTGTTCATTGACACTTTTGTCATTGGCATTGCCGTTGCCAAGATGGCGTCTGCCCGTAAAAGAGCCCAAACAGTTGGATTCAGCAAGTGTGCAGTGATCAGTATACATGATGGTCACCTATGCCTATCATGGCGGGTCGGGGACTTCCGGAGGAACCATATGGTAGAAGGAACTTCTAATGCACAGCTAATAGAGTTCCAAGCAAACAACAACACAGGGAAAGTTGACATCACATACAAAGACCTCAGCATTGAAGAGAGGAGCGTGATCTTGGCCACCCCAACAACTATAATCCATAAAATACTCCCTGGAACGCCTCTATACAAGATGAGCTTAAAGGATCTAAGAAAAGAGAGCTTCGAACTAGTGGTCTCTTTCACTTACACAGACGATTGCACGGGCATCCTTCACCAGACTCGCACATCTTACACTCCAAGCGAGATTCTGTGGGGCCAGAACTTTCAGGAGATGATCAGGGTCACCCGCAAGAACTACAGAGTGGACTACGCCCTATTCAACCACACGGTTAAAGTCCTGGTGCCAGAATTAAGCGCAGAGGAGTATGACCTAAAAAAGTACTCTGAACAGCCAAAACACAAACCGCTCCACATAAGTTCACCAACACCAGCTGTGGAATTGGTTAATGGGAATAATCTTGAGGCAGAAAAAGCATCCACCAGCAGTGCTGTCCAAGAACATAAGCTATAACTGTGACCTTGATACAGCCTTCCTCTGTAATAGCACTTTGAAATGTGGTCTTCTATTAGCATCACCTAAAAATTACGCATTTATAGTTTGATTTAGACTGAGGGCCAACTTTACTATACGGAACAAATTGTTGAGAGTGTACTTCTGACAATGTGTGAATTAGAGAATACAGACAGAGCTGTTTATTTACATAATGCAGAGTATTAAGCAGCAAAAACTAGGCTACAAACAAGCAGATCCATTTATGATCAGGTGCAGGTAATACTAACAACACAGACCTAAAACAGGATAACCGAGTCGTATCTCATGTGGAAACATAACTATTTTACCTATTGTCAAAAAAAGTGGCTAAAAAAACTAATTGATACAATTCAAATATACGACAGGAGACTTGCCTCCAAAGCCCAGCCCTAAACCTACCCATCACTGGGGGATAAGCATCATACAAATCATACTAAAACATACAAATGAGATCATACAAATGAATAAGAATTAGACATTAAATAAAAAAATTAAGAATTGCAGATGGATGTATGGATGGATAGATATATGGATCAAACATACGACTGGAGGCTTGCCTCCAAACTCCACCCCTAAACCTACCCACCATCAGGTGATAAGCATCATACTAAAAAAATACTGGATGGATGGATGGATGGATGGATGGAACGACTGGATGGAATGGATGGATGGATGGATTGATGGATGGATTGGATTGAACTGATGGTATGGATGAAACGACTAGATGGATGGATGGATGGATGGATGGATGGATGGATGGATGGATGGATAAATGGAAAGGATGGATGGATGGATGGATGGATGGATGGATGGATAGATGCAATGGATGGAATGACTGGATTGAACAGATGGGTTGAATGGATGGATGGATGGATGGATGGATGGAACAACTGGAGGGATGGAATGACTAAATGGATGGAACTGATGGATGGAGCAGATTCATACAAATTCATACAACTCAAACATACAACAGGAGCCTTGCCTCCAAACCCCACCCCTAAACCACCCATCATTGGGGGATAAGCATCATACTAAAATATGCAAATGAGATCATACAAATTTCTACTTATTAGACATTAAATCAAAAGGTTATGAATTGCCATAAGATTGCGTTGAATAACCCATGCTTTTTTAGAACAAATACTACCCAGCAAACAAAAAATCAAATAAATATCTATGACATCTAAAATTGAATAGACATTTATGATTAGCCCAAAACTAGACTAGTCATCAAATAGACAGACTTTATATGTGCAGTCATTCATTTCTGTTCATTTGATGACTAGTCTACTTTCGGCCTGTTCTTAGACGTCTATTTTCACTAACAGCCTAAATTTAGCCCTTTTTTATAGCCAAGATGACTATGTTTAGATGTCTATTAGACATCTTTTAAAAACAAAAACTGCTTGCTGGGTAGTAAACTGACTATAGTAACCACCTTTAATGATTTTTACAAATAGAACAATCTCATAAATTGTTAGCCTGTAAGAAAACTCCTACAAATGCACTGACCTCCAAAAATAACTCTGTCCAACAAAAATACATTTCACCACTCATTTTCTAACAATAAGCTGTCAGTAAATCAAGACAGTTGTTTTAAATGCATAAAAGGCGGTTTGTAAGTAAATCTGGCTCATACTAATGTGATGCAGAAGACCCTAATAAACAACAATAATTTGCTGGACTTTTGAATTTGATGCAAAGAATTGGAGAATTACATTTAAAATAATAAATTTTGTTTAAATATAGTAATTTATTCTTTAAATTAATTTAGCAATCTTGCACACACACAATATGCAGCAGAAGCACACGCACACACACACACACACAAACACACATCTATACTGAAATCACAGATGTAGTAAAGATTCTCAATTTAATTACAGACTCTTCGTTCATTGAAGTTTCTTTGATATTCCAAGATGTAAAAAATAATACTTCCTTGATTCGATTATGAGCCCAAACCCTCAACCTACATAAGAGGGAGTGGATCAATTATAATGACAGTGACGTTAACCTGAGCTGGTAATCAGTCACTGTGTTTCTTTGGTATTAGGTGAGGAAGTGCAGATTGTTGTTCCACCTTACTTTGCAAAGTGGTTAACCTATTATTTTTGTCTCAATTTTCAATTCTTGCAAAGCATTCATCTACTCCCCCAAAATACAACCTGACAACTGATTAAATGTACAATGTATGGTTATTGAGCGATCAATTCAATGCAGTCTGCAATATTTACATTAGTTTTTTAGTTATTGTTACTTTTATTTATGCTAATCAGATTGTTAAATGTAAAATCAGATTACAAAAAGAGTAAAAAAAATCCTTATTTAATAGTATTAGGTTAAATTACTACTGTTGTCACATTTTATAACTGTTAAATCATACACTGATGTGACTACTTTGACCACATCCAGTAATTTGGCATGACAGAAAAGCTCAAGATGTCCTCTTCAAGACAGGCAGACAGACTTAAAACAGTGGCATGTATGGTCTTGGTGATATTAACAAAAAACATATGTCTACTAGAGTGAATAAAATTGCTGGGTCTCAGGAGGTTTTTCTCCGAAACTGAAGTCTCCAGCCCTCCACCTTGTGGTTGGATGCAGTGCTGTCCAAGCATCGCCTCAAATTAGGCTGAAAGGTAAACAGAGGCCGGACAGCTCACGCACCACATTTTGTCTATAAATAGACTGTATTATTTATAGACTCGAACAGGAAAGTAACTAAAATAAGCACTTTGCAACAGCTTCACAAATAAAAGTTTAGCACGGCTCATTAGTTATGATAAGTAAGCAGTGTGTGACACGCAGCAGCCGGGAAGGGCAAAGGGCTGTGGAACACTTGCTGCTTGGTTTTCATTGGACCACTTATAAAGAGATGGAGAAACATTCTTCTCACTGAACATTAAAGGATCATTAATTAATTTTACATTGGTCTTGAATTACTGATTCCCTTCAATACAATAGAATACAAGAATTAATGAATACATTCTGAGTAGAATTATTTTTTATACTGTGTGTTGATGACTCAAGTACATGTAAACCTTAACAAATTACCCATGGACTATTTTAGTAAATGTGTTGTTATTGTTGTTTGTTTGACTGGTTTGTTTTTGTTTTGTTGGGGGGGGGTATAATAATAATAATAATAATAATAATAATAATAATAATTACAATTTGTTTAGCTACAGTTTTACTACAAAATACAGTGGCTAAACTATGGTTAGAGTAGCAAAAACATCATTAATTTGTAGTTGCTACAAAAAACATGTTCTCTTAATATTATTTGTAGTAAAACAATGGTTAAAGACTTCTGTGGTTTTTGTCAATGGCATAAACAAGACTAAGTCTATTATGGTATTACATGCTAAACTATTAAAACAGAATTTGTTTCGTGAAACAAAATAAAGGCTATTTATTAAGAAATGTTTGGTGTCCACTTACATTGTGTTTATTTTCATATTAAAAATTTATGAAATATGAAGTGAGATTCGATCAAGCATAGTAATCTGCAAATCTTTTATTTCAGAAATGCGTTTTTTTTCTGAAATGGCAGTTATTAAACCCTGTATGAACTATACAAGCCTGTTTATTAAAACGCTTGGGGTAATTACACCACTCTTCAGAGTTAACCTGTCAGTAATTTTCCTCAAGCTCAAACAAAATGGACTTTTGTTGGTACAAGTCAGAAACTGGCATTTTAAAATATGGTCTGTTAACAAGTGAAACATAGGATATTAACATATGCTGTCAAAGTAACGCCTGATATTAAGAGAAACCCGCATTTATACAGGCAAAAGGCGAATTTTCCATTGTCTGTTCAACATATTATGACTAACGTGTAGACCACAACGTTGAATCAAAATCATACTTCTGAAAGAATACATACATTTTAGACACCCACAAGGTTTTGTTTTGGCTTCCTTTGAGAGGATTCAAGCCCTTATTCGCGCGCTGCTGTTCTCTGTTTCACTTGCTCTCTACCAGTCCGTGAAGAACATTGTTTTATCCGCGCGTGAAAGTCTCCCTCTCATCTGATTGGCTGGTTTCACGGTAGGGGGCGTGACAAGCCGGTGCGTGTTATTTAAACGGATTTGAAGCCTAGAAGCAACAGCACATGAGTTACCGCACGCCGCAAAACAAGAGGAGAAATGTGGTGATTTCTGTTCTTGCACTACAAATACTTTTAATACATTACAAATAGAGGAGAACATCAATGCGAAGACTGTGGATAGTAACGCCATTCGTGGGATATTTATAAATGAGAAGGGTTTCGTATTTCATCTACAGATGACTAGGTAAGGTCATATATTTGCTGACATGTTTTATTTCATGCATTTGTAAATAAACTCGCACTGTGTGGGGAATGAGATGTGTTTTGTGCTGTACATATTAATTTAATTCTATTTTAAAATAATAATAATAATAAATCATAATTGTGTCTGCATCATTCCATGTGTTCAGCTAGATTTGATATTTTACAGCAGTAAATCTTAGCATATATATTTATTGAAAGTTTATTGCAGTAATTATGAAAAGTCTGAGAAGCAGAAGGTTTAAACTTAATTTAATTTTACTGAAACACACAATAAATATTTAAATATATTTTTAATTTTTAGTTTGTTTGTTTTGCTTTATTTTGTTTGTTTGGATTATGATCATTTCATAATTTAGCCAGATTCTACCTTTAAGTTCATGACTCTTTAATTGATATGAAAGTGTGATCAGTTTTCTTATTATTTACACTAAAGGTAACCTTCACTTTAAGTTTCTTATTACTTTAAGCACTTATTTAGTAGTTATTCAGGAGAAAGAAAGGAGGAAAATGAAATGAATGTCTTTCCGTCTCACACCTGTTGAGTTCTGTTTCTGCCTGCATGGCACATTTGACTTATAAAGCTACCATGCCGGGTTTAATGCTGCATTATGTGTATTTAATGCATTCAACATGTGATGTCAATTGTTATATAGCCTAGTATTGTCTTATTCGACAGAGCTCACTGTTGCTAAGTGTGCATTTGTCTAATATATTTGGAGCACAGCTGTGCTCAGCAGTTGTCAGGCGTCAGTCGGCTGACAGACACGCAGATCTTTTCTGCCATAAACACTCACAGACTTTCAACTGGCAGCTAAATTGGTGCTTAACTTGTTTGTCAGGACCGTGCACATCACATAGTGTAAACTGTTAACAGCGATGAATGGGCAAAAGGAATTTCCCTAAAATATGCAACCATATTTTTGAAGTAATAATCTTAGATTACTCAAAAGAATTTAGACTTTTATGTAACATTTTCCATTGGTCCTCACTGGTCCGCGCCATCAAAATAAACATCTTTCCTAGATAGAAACAATGTCATATTATGGTTCGTGTAAGACATAATAGCATCTATCAACCTGCTCCTTATCTGAAGGTTTATGGGGCCGCATGTGAAAATGTTGAACCAAAAGAAATAAACTTTTGTTCTAGTTGGAAGGATATAATCCTGCAGTAGTTTTTCTTCAAATAAATATATATATACATACATATATATATATATATATATATATATATATATATATATATATATATATATATATATATATATATTTTTTTTTTTTTTATTTTTTTTTTTTCTCTCTTTCAATCTTTCATTGATTATGTCATTCACTTACTCG